ATCAGGCAGGCGGGCGAGTGGTTAGGGGTGATCAGACAGGCAGGCAGAGTGGTTAGGGGTGATCAGACAGGCAGGCAGAGTGGTTAGTGATGATCAGGCAGGCAGGCAGGCAGGCAGGCAAGCGTTTAGGAGCCAGCGGTTCCCGATTGTGAGAGAGATGTCCTGGATTGGGAGAGGGTGCAGGTCAGGCTGAATGACTCGCCCCCTAACCCCCCCCCCCCCCCCCCCCCCCATAAAAATTAAATACAACATCTGGGACTCAAAGAATCATCCAAATGAACCTTCTGCTTGTTCCCTTGCTGCTGTTCAGACCTGCTCTGCTGGGGCGTCTCTGGCCCTCCAGTGAAGCCTCTGGCAAGACCCATCACTCTCATGGTCATTTGAAATACATTTTATTTTTAAATTAAATATATTGTGGTTACATTGGTAAATAAAATTATATAGGTTTCATTTTCTGGGTCATTTAAAAAAATAGACTATTTTTAGAACAGTTTTAGGTTCCCAGCAAAATTAAAGACACAGTACAGTTCCCATATGGCCCTGTCCCCACACGTGCACAGACTCCCAGCTATCAGCATCCTAGTCCCTGCCCACAGTCACCCATGGATGCGCTTCACCATTGGTCTGGTTTTATGGAATTTATTTTTTTCCTCCTCCATCCCCTGGCTGCACTTCCTATCCGATGCCCCATCGGTATAATCTTAATATATTTAATGCATATGTCCTTTCAATCTACTTTCCATACATGTATTTACATTTGTGCGGGTCCTTGAAAACACATAGAAGTGATTCATGTGCTTTATTTTATAGGTATTTCCCTGTGAGCTTCTGGGAATGACTCTCAAAGCCACACTTTTCCATAAAAATGTGCACTCCCATGGAAAACTGTATTGTCTCTAGCACATTCTTCCTGGTTCTTTGATTCTGATTCAATGACAACTATTTTATAACCAGAGGCCCAGTGCATGAAATTCATGCACAGGAGGCAAGGGGTCCCTCAGCCCGACCTGCTCCTCTATCAATCTGGGACCCCATGGGGGATGTCGGGCCTAAACCGGCAGTC